GACTCTTGCTGTTTTTTATTCTTGAGCTGCTGACAAAATTTGGATGTGTTCACTCTTGCGCAGTAAAAGGCTACTTTTTTTTAAACTTTATTTTATTTGTTTATTTATTTATTTTTATGTGGTGCTGAGGATCGAACCCAGGACCTTGCATGTGCCAGGCAAGCACTATACCGCTGAGCCATAACCCCAGCCCCGTAAAAGGCTACTTTAACAAGTGATTTCAGCAATTGAGGCACCAATATATCTGATCAGCCATCTTTTTGATTTGTTATTCCTTGTAAATTCAGATATTGTTAGAAAGAGAAATTTGATTTAACCTAAGTGACGTAAGCCGGATTTCATCCAGTAAGAATCTGGTTAAGATAGCCTGATGGCCCTTTAGAGCTATGTGAACTAAGATCCCAGGGGCTTATGAGGTAGGTGCTAGCTGCATCTAAGAGTTTACTGAGTGCTTTCATAGACACAGTCATTTGATGCTCAAGCCCTCTTATATAGGGACCTGCTTACTGACCTAGGCCTCAACTCAAGTAAATTTACTATAATTTGGTTTCCTCCTGTATAAACTGTGAGGGAGCGCCAACTACACAGCACCAACTACAGGGGTGTATATAGACTATCATAAACTAGTATCCTGTTTTATAGCTGAGGAAATAGGCCTGGAGAAGTTCAGGGATTTATCTTCATTGCCAAAAAGTTTACAAGGTCCACCCCAACCTCTCTGGCCCCCAAGTCCTTTTTTTTGGTGGTGTTGGGGTCACTATGAGGTCAGAGTCCAGGCTTTTGAGAATTGGCTTCTCTAATATCATGAATAACTTTAGCAAAACTTTTATTTTGTGAAAGGGGAGAGAGGCTGAAGATAAGACACTTGTTATATTGACGTCATGCTCTGTTTTTACCTAATGTGTTTACTGTGTGCCATAATCCTTGAATTTATGAATTTTTGGCATGTGTAACCAAAGAGACCTGTCAGTTATTGCATCATAAATAATGATATATGTGTAAAATGATATATTAATGGAATTCAGTATAACAATTGGACCTGCTTTCTGGAGTCATGGGAATCAAGTAATGATTACTTCCAAAATGAAGTTTCATGAAAGAAAGGAGAGAGGTGTGCTTTTAATTCATTAACAGCTATAGAGACAGACTGAAAAGCAAGCAGCTCCTTGATGTATACCAGCCCCAGGATTCTTCCTGTGGAAGCAACACCCTCTATGGACTATCTTATGGACTATCTTATGAACCATTTAGTTCTTGGCCTAACCTTACTAGATAGATATAGTTAGTCTCCATTTTGCAGGAGAGAAAACTAAATGGTTAAGCAACTTGTCCAGAGTTACTGGGAGGAAGATAGTTATCTCCTTGAATGCAAAATTAAGGCAGACCTATCTTTTGAGGATTGTTTCATAGCATGATTCCTTTTTATCACTGTGGTTTCTAATGTTAAACATTCCTCTGGATTTTTAAAACTTATTGCTTATGTTGAAAAGATTGTCTTGATGTATCTTAAATATCATGATCTTGCAGCTGATTAATCCATTAAGTGACTTAATTTGGAATCTACTGTGCTCATAGTTGAAGGTCATAGTGTAGTTATTTTTGAACTTAGGATTTACAGGGGGGGGCTTTACCACTGAGCTACATCCCCAGACCTTTTTATTTTTTATTTTGAGACAAGGTCTCACTAACTTGCTGAGAGTGGCCTTGATTTGCCATCCTCTTGCCTCAGCCTCCTGAGTAGCTGGGATTACAGGTGTGTGTCACCTTGCCTGGATCATAATGTAGTTTTCGTCAGCAAACATCCCCTTCATTCCCTTTTAAAAAAAGCTCAAGCAGGAACTGTTGTTCTGTGATTTGCCCCAAAATATGTTAGCACTTTCAAGATTCTAGACAGTGTTTAAATGGACGTTTGTTTAAAAGGAAAGGTTTTAAAAAGCCCAGTGCCTGCTGATTTGCATTAGTGGGTATTTTGCTGATAACTAATCTGATGTGAAGTGGTCTATGAGAAGTTCTCAGAATGTGTGGGATTTAAGCCGTGTGGATTATATGGTCACAACTATAACTGAATGATGGCGCTTTGGGGAAACTTCTTGCTTATATTGATGGCAAATTTTTTGCAGTAAGAGGATGGAAAATAAAATAGTAAAGGTTGTGTAGGCAATTCCTATTTCTTTATTAAATTAATAACAGTTTATAGCAAAAGAACTAACTTTTCAGATATTTGTGAACTTGGCACTTAGTGCTTATATATTTAGCTGATAGATATTTTTTCCATAAAACCTGTTCCTAAAAACATGTCAGGGGCTTCTCTGGAGGCTGCAGGTGGCAAGACAGGTTTGGCAGTACTGTTTGTGCAGAATGTGCCCTTGGCGCCTGCTCCACCCTTACTATGCTCCATTAGTCTAATTGCATCTTCCCAGGATGCACTTCACCTGGGAGCCTCACTCTCAGCTCTATCACTTATAGCTTCTTCTCAGCAGCACATGAAGATGCATGGGTAGAAGAAGCACAGCTTAGACCAGAATGTGTGGCCTTTTATTCTAGAGGAATCAAAATATTTCACATGTCATTTGTGTATTCTGAATTAGAGAGAGCAAGTACTTTTTTCCTTTTATAAATTGGGGAAATGAGTGGCAAGTTAATAAGTGTGAGATGGATCCAGGACTAATCTCCAGTTCTTATCTAATGTATATCAACTCAGATCATTTCAGGTGGCAGTGATTTTATTTAATTGCACTAGGAAAATCTGGAAAGGGGCAAGCAAGAGAAAAAAATTGTACAAAAGTAAAGGTGTGGTTGTTTGACTACATGATGATCACTTCTGTTTGTGTTGACTTTTGATAACTTAAGTGGAAAACATGTGGTCTCTATTTAATTCCTATGAATCACAACCTCATTACGTAAAATGTATCACACCTTAAATAACTTGCTAATGAGTAAGCTTAAAATTTATTGAAAAGACCAAGTGAGCAGTTGTTAGATTAGAACTACTAGGCAAACAAATATTCTTTCAAAATTCTGGAGTATTCTTTCAGAATACTAAATTGTTCTTAATATGAGAATGAGTTTATATTTTATTTTTCTTTTGTCTTTCTTTCTTTTTGATGAGGGGAAGGGCCTGGGGGAGTAGTCTCACTTTGTTGCCTTGGCTGTCCTTCAACTCCTGGGCTCAAATGATTATCCTGCCTTAGTCTCCTTATTAGCTGGGACTTTTTAAAAAAATATGATTTAAAAACAAACAAATTGCCTTCACTATATTTTAAGGGTTCTTTATAGATGTTTATAATTTTCAAAATATTTTCAGGATACAGAAGCTAATTTAGTAGATTTTTATATTTTGGTAACTCAGATTCTTCTTTTAAGTAAAGGATTTTTTTCCCCCTGGCAAAACACATTGGTTTGCAAAAATGTAGCATTTATCTTTTTTTCTGCAGATGAGTAGTCATGGCTGATAATAATAGTGAACATAGAGGGGAGGGGAGGGGAGGGGAGGGGGGATAGTAGAGGATAGGAAAGGCAGCAGAATACAACAGACACTAGTATGGCAATATGTAAATCAGTGGATATGTAACCGAAGTGATTCTGCAATCGGTATACGGGGTAAAAATGGGAGTTCATAACCCACTTGAATCAAAGTGTGAAATATGATATGTCAAGAACTATGTAATGTTTTGAACAACCAACAATAAAAATTAAAAAAAAATAATAGTGAACTTTGTGAATGCTTCCCCTGAGTCAGGCAACTACTATTTAATGTATATTATCTCATTTAGTTCTTGGCCTAACCCTACTAGATAGATATAATTAGTCTCCATTTTGCAGAGAGAAAACTAAATGGTTAAGCAACTTGTGCAGAGCTACTGGGAGGAAGTGTCAGAGCCCGGATTCAGACACTGGTACACAGGTTTCCAGAGCCTGACCTGGCCTCACCCAGGCAGTGGGAGATGTCAGGTTGTGACCTTAAGGAATGCAGCTCAGCTAAATAAACTTAGACTTCCCTCTGAACTGGCCCATCCATTACCATTGTCTGTTGCTCTTCACTGTTCGCCTGTGTGTCTGAAAGACACTGCCTTTGTGGTAAATCACTGCTTCTGATCTATGTTGATTTGAGGATGTAATTTGACGAATTATTTCAGTGACTCTGAGGGGCTTTACTGTGATGGAAAGAAGACTTTGACATCTGCTCTTAAGTGGTGGATAGGTGTCTAGGCTAGCTTGGCTGTCTGCTCTCCCCGTGACTAGGCAGTGAGGCCCAGGAGCTTGTTGGAGTGGCTTTCCCCCACTACAACCTTCAGGAGTTTCACTGCTACTTTCCATAGCAAATCCCCTTTCCTGTCCCAAAGACTCCACCTCTAGAGACCAAATTTAGTTATTATTTCTAGAGTTTCACTAGACACATTGGTGTTGGTAATTGCAAGGGGCTGTTATATATAACAGTTCGGTAGGTCTGCTTATAAAATATTTTTTATCTTACCTCTCTTTTTTTTGTGCTAGGATTTAAAAGTCTTTTTAAGATGTTTCAATAAGAGCTTTTTACACAAATTAGGGCCTCTTCATGAATAGAGTTAAGGAGAATCATCCCTCTGCTCCTCAGCTTTGTAATGAAACTTGAATTTAAAGATGGGGTTGAAATTAATGTGCATATATAGATGATATTTCAAGTTTAGATCTTAATTTTTATGTACTTTTAGATTATCCATAGGGTTTTTAACTTTAAATAGAAAATGTTTAAAATTTAGTTTAGCTTTTAACTTATGTAGTCAGCCAGACTTAGATGATAAGTCCAATAAAATAATTGCAGAGAGTACTTATTGTGTTTTTTTCTGTGTATACTTGTTCATACTTAAATGGATGTAATTTCCCACAGTAAACAGATTTTGGTGATATAAGCATGTCCTTTAAATAAAACATTAGATTCATGTTAATTAATCTAATACTGATTTTTGACTAGTGTGTTATCCTTGTTTAACAGACAATTAACACCCAATTCTGTCTTTCAGGCAGTAACAGAGAAGAATTTTGAAACACGGGATTTTCGGGCCTCTCTAGAAAATGGTGTTCTGTTGTGTGAGTAAGTATTTAAAGCATTTAAAAAATAATTCAAAAGCAAATATGTGTGTGCTGGTCATGTATGTGGGTGTGTGCACATGCAGGTACGTGCGTATAGGGGGTGTGTGGGTGTGCATTGGTGTTATGAGATGTTCCTCTTCTCATAGTCCCCATCATCACAGATATGTGTTCTTGGTCACAGGTGAGATTTGATCCCTGCAAATTGACACCCCCATAATAGGAGACAGTAGGAAGGGGTTATCATATCAGTCTCTGTATCTACAGATAGTGTTTCTGAAATGTGTATTATTTTCAATTAGTAAACAAGAAAGATTCTATTATTGCTTGTAGGCATGGGTGGTTGAGGAGGAAGACTTATTACATTTCACTGCCTATCACTTACCATGAGTAGTTTAACATGCAGAACTGCCTGGTTTTGAAGTTAACATAAAACTTCTTTTCTTCATCAATAAGTTATGATGATTAGAGCAGTAAATTTTTCTTTCAAGTTTTAAGTGGAGCTATTATATTTCCCCAATCAATTTGAGTCATGGACATTCTCAATTAATAAATGTTATTGAGAACCACATCCCAGGCTGTGGTTACCATAAGTAAAATAGGCTGGTGCCATGATTGATATTTAGTTTTGGTTCCCCAGTGGATGCATAGTTCTTTTAGCCAAGTATTTGACCTTTGGGGGTAGGGGAAAGGCAGGCCTGTGAGGTGAAAGGATGAAATGTTGGAGGAAGGTACAGGCTGCAGAAGTGAGTAAATAAATTATAAGAATGTACTTGAGTACCCACCCACATTTTTAAAAGCACTTGATAATTCCAACTTAGACGCTTATCACACAGTTATGGAATCAGTCCACAAGTAAGCACTGGGAGTGTATGTACTGGCACTTAGATCATTTTGAATCTCCTTTTGAAGGATGTTGCTTACAGTAAAGATTCAAAGGGTCAGATTCCTTGCTCCATTACTTTTGTACATTTGAACTAGTGACTTCTGTGTACATTTGAACAAGTGACTTAACATTTGAGTCTTATTTTTTCCTCTCTAAAGATCAGGATATCGGACTTGTCTAAATCACAGGGATGTCTGAGTTCAATAACACATATATTGAGGTTTTTGTACATTATCAAGTTTTGTATAAATGCAAGTTATTGTTAGAAAGATGGCCATGTAAAATCTGCTCTGTTGACAGGTGTTCAAACTCCATTGTTTTAGAGTATCATTAATTGTTCCATATGAAGTTGCTGATATTTAACCATTTGTGACCTATAGAAATATATAATGTGCATATATAGATGATATGTGATTTCATCTAATGAGGGACAGGCATTGAAGAAGGGCCATGAATAAAGTTTAAAGAATATTTCTAGTTCTTTTCCAATGTCACATTCAGAATCCTTATTGAATAGTGTTCAGACTTACTTATGTAGGCCACATGGTCGCCCCAGTTGGTCACCAAGGGGAAATTATCTTGATTTGAAAACTGCATGATTTAAATGGGTTCTCATGTGTTCAGCAGATGGAGATGGGAAAATCTCCTAGAAAGAGGCATGTGACCTGCAAACTACCTTAACTCTAAGTATGGATTATTTAGAAGTTTGCAGTAAAAATACTTCACCAATTTTAAGTGCTATAACTCTGGATAGCTGGTGGGTATTTGGAGGAGGTATGCCTATAAGGTGCAGGATTCTTCTGAGATTGACAAGAGCATATAGCCTGCCGCAGTCCGGCTGCAGCAAAATAACCGGGGGGTGACGAACAACTTGTGTACGTTGATACAGCAGGAGTAGGAGCCGTTTATTGTAGGACAGGAGCGGTATTTATACATTTTACACAGCTTATTTAAATTAGCATAAACTAGATACATCAGTCAACCAATAAGAAATCTCCACACTTAATGGCTCGCTGGAGTTACTTCACAAACCACTCCCTCTGGCATTTTGCCAGGCGCCATCCAGACTTGTTTACAGACCCTAACATTTCTCTGGCAAAATGCCAGGCGCCATCCTGACTTGTTTACAGACTCTAACAATAGCCCAAACAGATGATCTTTGCAAAGAAACCATTTTGTGGGTTATATGCTTCCAGTAATAAACTATTGCTCAGAATATTTCAGGGATTCTACTTTTTGGGCGCTGCCTCCATAAATAGATCTTTAAGCATTTTTTACTTAAAATTTATGCACCAGCCTGGGTTCTAAATGATTTGAAAAGATTTCCAGAAATTCTACCCCATCTGAAAGAATGAGGATGTTTAAAGTTGATAAAAAACTGCTTTGACCAAGGCAGTACAAGTTAGAATAAACATATAATTTCTATCTTAGCTAATGGTGACAGCAAACATTTGGATGCATGGTTAGAGATATGTTGTTTTTTTTTAATATTTATTTTTTAGGTGTAGATGGACACAACACAATGCCTTTATTTTTATGTGGTGCTGAGGATCGAACCCGGTCCCACTCTACTGCTGAGCCACAATCCCAGCCCTATATTGTTGTTTTTAATGAGTCACCTTAATTAAGAAAATTCTAAAAGATCATTCTTAGATTGTTTCCAAATTGGAATAATAACAGTTTGGGGTTTGAGGTATTACCATATAAATGTATCAGTCTGTTTAGTACTGATAATTGTTTAAATATTTTCCCATAGTTAGTTAAGTAAATACTAGGCCATGGCAATCAGTAATTGTGTAGTTTACTGTGGAACATCAAAGTGGTATATAATAAATTCTTCCTTTAAATTGTCAATCACATTGTTCATAGCCCAGGTCAGTATAAGTGTAGTATTGAAAAAAAGCAAGGTCCAGGTAACTGTATTCTTTTTTTTTTAATATATTTATTTTTTAGTTGTAGTTGGACACAATATCTTTTACTTATTTATTTTTACGTGATGCTGAGGATCAAACCCAGGGCCTCGCATGTGCTAGGCAAACACTCTACTGCTGAGCCACAATCCCAGCCTTGGGTAACTGTATTCTTTATGAATCTATAAATGAAGAAAGTTTAGATGGGTCTCTGAAATGGTGATCAGGGACTGCTGTGTGGCCACATTACCTTCATACAATAGTGACAGAAAACAGCCAGCTGCTCAGAGAGGCCTGGTATTGTAGGCCTGACTTTTAAATTCATTGTGAATATAGTAAGCTGACTTGAAGGTTTTTTTCTCCCCCTGTTAGATATCTCATTTTTTGGCTGAAATATAATTAGAATGTTTTTAAAATCTTGATTTATTTTCTGACAAAAGCCTGACTTCTATTTGGCTTACTGCCAGAACTATATTTCTTGTGAAATGTAGGATCTGTTTGTTGCCTGTTTAGGCTTCCTTGTTCATTATCCCTATTAATGAGGTTTCTTTTTTTTTTTTTTTTGCTTTTTAGTAATTTTATTATTTTTTCTAATATTGTTACTTTAATTTCCCATAGCACCTTGGCAACATTGAAAACAAATACAAATACAAGGATGTACGTACGTATTTTAACATTTTATGCAAGAGCATGTGTCACCATTTTTTGGAGGGACAATTCTGACAATAGTAACAAACCTAAGCAATGGACAAACTAGAAAGCCAGATAAATGGTTCTGGTCCCCCAACCCCCAACATTTAAGATATGCTTAATGAGGTTTCTTAATGTTTCATTTAGTAATTTCAATAGCTTTTTATCCTTCAGTAGTGCTTTTTTTCATATTTAAACTGGTGTTCTGAAATATCAAAGTCAAAAGAGTTGGAGAAGCTTATTATAGCTTTCATCCAACTGGCAGTGGACTGACATTTCAGAGTCTAAATTGGGTATAAACTCTGTGCTGAGGTTTCAGATGAGATGTACATCTGAATAGTGAGGGCAGTTGTGTGCATTGTGATCGGCTATTGAAGTTAGTACGTTCATATTAATCACTTTAGTTTCATTTAGTTTGTTTGGCTGTGGAATCTAGTGAGTTGATGGCTAAGGAATATTCCCTGGAAAAAATCCAATATAGTCTAATATTTTACACTTTACCTCGGATACCTGCTCTCTCATGAGGTGGGTACTAACCAGATTTTTTTCCCCTAATTAATAAAAGGATCAACAAGAATTTATTAGATGATTTCAGCTCTTTGTTATAATTTTCTATGAGTTTAATTATTATATTCATTAATCTGTCTATTCTCTCCAGTATTTCTTAATGTTAATTAGGACTGCCTTTATTATATATTTTAAAAAGTATAAAAGATTTGCCACTGCATAAATGTTTACAACCCCGTTTTGCTCTGGTTTCTGGCAGAAGTATTTCTCTTCTCTAAACATATTTGGGTGAAGCCTATCCAGCTTTCGATATCAACTAGTGATTTCCCAATTACTCATGATGGCAATCTTGGAAATACTGGGTGAAAACATTTGTTATTCCTCAGTGAAGTAAGATTTGTCTGAAGATAGTCTGATTGGGTGTGTTACTGGTTAGTCAATCTGTACTTCCCCTTCCTGGAATGGTCCCAAGTTTTTGCCCTGTTTCCTTTGACCATGCACTAGAAGCTTGAACCTTTTGGAACATGTGGCTCACATTATTCAGCAGCTTCTCACGCTGTCACCAGGTCTTTTGAAACTTTGCTTGCCACTTGGAAAGAGTGGAGCAAGATGTTCACCTATTGGTGCGAGAAGTCCTGTTCTATTTATATCTGCCTTGTGACTATCACACTGTTTTTAAAGTACCATAATATTTGATCAAAGATAAATTTAATAGAGAAAGAAAATTATTTACCATTACTGCTATTTACTGTGGGGCACTCAGGTGACTTTTTAAAGGCATTTGGCAACAAAGACAAGTCTGTCACTTGTCATTCATGCAGAGAGAACTCTATCCTTTTTCTTAGAGCTGGAGACTTCTATGCATGGGGTGCCAGGGATGCCAGGGACACGAGTGGACTGTTAGGGCTTCTGTACTTAGCTCCACGGGAGGCCCAGAGACTTTGTATAATGGCAGGGTGTGTATTTTTAGAGCTGTTTCTGGTTTTAGATTTCTAGAGGAGGATAACTGTT